ACATTATGACTCGTAGGAATCAACATCTGATTCCAGAAAAGAAAGTCCATTAGGACTTTTTGTCAATGTACTCATCGTTATTTACACAAACTAACCTAATAAGAAGCTATTATTGATTAAACTCTGCAACACACTGCAACATATTTACTTTATGTCACTTAAAGGAACAGTCCATCAGTCCATGTTATTCCAAACCTATACAACTTTCATTATTCTGCAGAGCACAAAAGATATTTTGAAAAATGTCTGCTTTTTGTCCTTACAATGAAAGTCAATATGGTCCAATATTGTTTTAGACTCCACTGACTTTCACTGTAAGGACAAAACAGTTCTTCAAAAAATGTATGTTTTCTCCACAGAAGAAATTCAGTTATACAGTTTTGAAATGGCATGAGGGTGAGTAAACAGATGTATGCTTCCTAGAGCATATGTCTGATGCCACATAAAATGACAACATAAAATACAGTTCCAAACGAAAAAATGTTTTAAATTTAATTTTAATTACACATTTATTTGTAGACAAAAAGTTATAAAATACAGCATATAAATTATACTCAACCAACATGAAACACATGACTTTTGTTTTATCTGACTTCCCTTTATATTAACATGTAGTTTCCCAGCATGAGGATCAGAGCAGAACTCTTACCAGAGCCTTCAGGTGTGGAGCGGACATAAGTGGGCAGCATTTTGACGCTGGCTTCATTGTGTGTCTCCACTCGCAGTCCCCTCTCCATCTCTCTCCGCATTCTCCTCATCACTTCCTCTAGATCTTCTTTACTCAACAGAAATTCGGACAAAATTTGTTCCACCTGTAGAATATGCCAGAAAGAGAGAGATTCAAATAAGTAAATAGTTTTAAACAGTCATAATTTGATATTAACAGACTGTATGCTTCAGATTATCTCAAATGTGTTTGAAACACTCACAGTAGTGCCAATGAATCAAAAAATGATGATTCATGTCAGTCTAAACATAGATACTCTAGTTTTATTGCTTTGGCTCTTACCATGAGAATTCTCTCCAGCACTGACTCAAAGTCACTCAGCATCCCTTGCCTCTGAGCTGAAGTAAGACAAGGCATCTTTGCAAGTCTTTTCACAACAAGTGTATGATGAGCGTTGATTTGCACAAATTTGAATGTGTGTGAGGTGCATAGAGATGCCCAGCTGTTTTTATGCTCCAGTGAAGGAGGTGGGGAGGTGGCCACAAAGATCATTGCCTTCTGTGTACACACACATGGTACACACACACACACACACACACATATGCACATTTAATCTCACCCATCGCCTTGGAAACCTAGCTGTCAAGGCTACTCAGCATGATCACGCGCTTCACAGCGAACATGACCTGACCTTTGCCTCCATGGGAAATTCAAAATGAGATTGACACAATATAATCTCCATAATATAAATAAATATATGTGAAACAACAATGAACATATTATAGTACTATTATATTTTTACTGTTATATTAAGTATATTTACAAACCCGAGCATTATTCTGATGCAAGGCAATACAAAAAATTCTAACCACATTGTACTGGGATGCACCTAAGCTGGCATGTGGCTTTCTTCAAATGTTAAAATGGTATAAAATTGTGATTGATATTATGTTGTATAATATTATATTGATTTGTCATATGTAATGTACTTTGTAGAACTAGATTTTTAAAAATGGGAATTAGGTTAAATTCAAAAATAGCTTCTGAATTTAAACCCTTGCTAAATATAGATGATTTTGTTTGCACAGGGCAAACATTTTTCCAGAAATAGGTCTGCAGGAATGTGATGTGAGGGAAAGTACAAACATCAAACGTTTATTGCACTCTGAAGCGTTACCTAAGTGGTCAGACAGGGTCAAAAAAAAATCAATAAGATTTTAAGTCCATTAAAAAATCACGTAAATGTGATTCTAAATTGCTCCAGAAGCATACAAATAATATTTACAAAAAATAGTAATAATAAAGAATTTGACATTTGTCATCAATGGCAAGTTTATCTTGAACTTGATGGAAGTTCAAGAAAGCGAAAGATATAACAATTGTATAGCCAAAAGACAGTAATAATTGAAGCTTTAATATCAAGTGAAATTTTATAGAATTGCAGTTTAGAAAATTGAACTCTGCAGGCCTGAACTCGGAAACATGTGCTAAAATGCTGATAGCATGAAGGCTATTGGGTGTTGATTTTGTGCACTAAATGGTTTAGGGACCAGTTCTGACTATTAACTAGTTGCTTATTAGCATGCATATTACTAGCAGTTTGGCTGTTTATTAGTACTAATAAAGCACATGACCATATTTTAGATCACTTAATTCGACCCCATACCTAAACTTAATAGCTACCTTACTAACTATTGATGAGCAGCAAATTAGGAGTTTATTGTGTCAAAAGTTGTAGTTAATAGTGAGAATTGGTCCAAGTGTGACCAAATATCCACATGGTTTTGGCTTCATATTGTATGTTGCCAATAGATAATGTTATCATATTTGGGTTAGTTACATAAGTATTATTAAGTAACAAATTTATACATTTAATTTCCTTATGACCATTTTCTATATATACACGGTATACTGCATGTATTTGAGAATTTATGTGTGTGTGTATATAGTACTTGTAAGTAAACTGTATTATGTTTCATAATACTTATAATCAGATTGCAGTTACTTTTTTATATATTATTACAAAATTTTGATCATGTAATATGCACTCACTAACAAACTATAATACACACACACACACACACAGAGAGAGATTTTAATAAATGTGTGCTACATATTTAAACAATGCCTTTT